ACGTCTTCCGCCATTTTGGAGAGTACCTTATCGGCATTATTTACGTTAGGGTGGAAAGTGCGCGCATGAACATAATCGGCGTGTTTACACTTATGGTAAAGCGTGCGTATGCGTTGTGATACTCTCCAAAATGGCGGAAGACTCGGGAGAAGAATTGTTGAATAAAGTCGTCATTTTTGCTTTCTTTGCGCACAAAATGTATTCTCGTAGCTTCGCAAAATTGAAGTTGAGCCACTGATATCATAGACTGTTTTACCGATGTCCTTGCTACGTTTCTGTCTGGGAATATTACAGTTGTGTTGCTGTCTGTGGAGGGTCAGAGAGCTCTCAGATTCCATCAAAAATATCTTAATTTGTGTTCTGAAGATGAACGGAGGTCTTACGGGTTTGGAACGACCTGAGGGTGAGTAATTAATGACAGAATTTTCATTTTGGGGTGAACTAACCCTTTATGAATGTTTGTGATAATGTAAGAAAAGTAGTTTAAATGTTTTGCAACTTGCTTGCCACAACTTAATATAAACAATGCTGGAAAAGTATTTTCAGTAACAAAGTTTGGATTTGAAATCAAAATAATGGATGGATAAATGTGTTTGTGGTAAACAGCCAGGGATCAGTTGCAGACTCCTGTGTGAAAGCACAGTGACCACCTGCTGCTTCTGCACCGCTTCACATACAGCTCACGAAATCAGGCTTGTGCTGTGTGTAAGCTATTGTGCAACAATTGCAAGATTGTAAAAACAAAAATGCACTGCATGATCAAACATTTAGGTGAGAAATATATATTTTTGAAAAATGTCTAAAAAAATGCCCCCCCCACCACCCCTCAAATTAAAAAATCCCCCTCACAAGAGTCACCTAAGAGGGGAATTCATTTTCAAAAATGAAATTCAGGCCCTGAATAAATGTCTAAAAATCTTAAATGGATCATCACTACAAATAATTCTACACGATAAAAAGAAGGCTTTAAAAAGATCGGTATCGGTGATCGTATCGGCAGATATTGCTTTCGGTGATCGGCCTCAAAAATCCTGATCGGAGCACCCCTAGTGGATAGAATAATAAAAAAACATTTTAAAATCCAGCAATACTCACCAGTCTATGCAGCAGCTGAAGTTCCAGAGAGGAAACGGAGGTGCTAAACTGGGCAGCGTAGGAGCAGGTGGCCTGGCATCGTTTCACAAGTTCAAAAAGTGTAGCATCCATGTTCAAGGCTTCTGGAGTGCGGGTACGCAGACCTTCGAAGTTGAGAATGGTGCTGCAGAGAAAAGTAACCTGGTTGGCACGCTGACTCTCCTTCATCACCAAGGCACGGCGTTCTGCTATAGTGGCCTCAAAGTCCTGCAGCACTGGGGCGAGTGCAGGGTTTGCGCCACCGGCCCACTTCAGCCTTTGCTCTATGCTGCCCTCTAGACTTGCCAACTTCTCCTGCAACACAAAACCCAACACGGTTTAAATGAAAAGGTTTCTATTTCACTTTGACATATTTTCCAAAACATGCAACGCCTTTAACCTGGACGCTGCCAATAGAAGCTTCGTCCTGACTGAGTTTGTAGAGCTTCTTCTTCATGTTGCTCAGGATGATGGAGCGAGGCGGGGGACTGACCGTCATGGGCTGCGTCCTCGCACCGAGAATGTCCTCATGCTGCCACTGATGAGAGAGAACAGAAGGTGAAGGTCACATTTACTGGTGCTTGGTAAAATTTCATGGGTGAATTTCAGTCAAATCCCGCTCATGTTCAGATTATAATTTGCTGCGCTTACCAACAAAAAGCTGCTTGGTTTTAAAGTGACTGTAGTTTGTTACTTCTCTATGTTATTGACAATGCATACGGGACCTGATTTTTTGCACACAAAGTTTCACTAGAACTTCACAGCCACAACCGATGACGACATTGTTTTTTGTAAACGGAGACACGGTTCTTACCTGGAACATGGCGATGTGAAGCTGAGTCCTCTGCAGGCTGACCTTACAGGCTTCAATGCTGACTTCCAGACGTCGTACCAGGTCCAGTTTTTTCCAAGCCGTGTCGTAGGAGCTGGCAAGCACTGTAGCCCTGTTGAGCAGCAGCTGGGATATCCGTCCTGCCTGCACCCCTTGCTCTACTGCTTTCTTGCACAGGTCATCCAGAGAAACCTTCCCCTCAGCGCCAAAGTCCTTGGCCTCCACCTGGGCAATGAGATCCATGCCGAGGGCACTGAGAGCGCTGCAGATGGCCAGGCCCAGAGCCTGGGTGGGGAGCCCCATTAGCATCTGCCTCACAAAATCTGCCGTGAAGGCTTTGATGGGCCGCATCATCTGGTCTTCGGTCACTACAGTGGAGCCTCGGTACATGGGTTTCACTATGGGTACTGGGCCATTTGAGGGTGGAGGCTCATCAGTGGGTGTAGGACATGTTCCTGTTAGAAAAATAAGTGTGTAATAAAAAGCCTGATTCTGCATAATGACTAGGGTTTTTTTCGATACCGGTGCCAAATCGATACTTTTAAAACGGTTCCAGTGCCTAAACCGATACTTATTAAAAAATAAATAAAAATTCCCCAAAAAAATGATGGATTGGCCATTAGCACTATAAACACATGATGTCCGTTTCATTCATACTGGACGCCAGAGGGCGCCCTCGCACAGAAAATCCACATATCCAGTCACAGAAGTAGGAACTCATGACCCTCCAGGAAATCCCTTATATGGACAAAGGCATGCTATTATAGCTGCAACTGAGTAAACAGAACATATAAACGTTTTGAATGATAAAACAAAGGCAATAAACACTCGACTGCGACAATATAGATTATCGGTGTTATTCAAGCCATCTCTGGTATTTTCATAATACTTAAGTGTATTTATAATCCATTGCTAATCGATGTATTCTTTTTAAAGTAGCCTATGGAACATATTTTCTGCCTCATTCTGTGACAAGAAGCCTCATCAGATCACAAAAGGAAGCATTTGACTGGTGTTGTGGAGTAAAAAGGTTATAATGTTCTCTTTTGTTGGACAACTGGTTTAGAAATGTGAATACAAGGGAAGTTTAGCTTTAGGCATTTTAATTTAAGCATGTTTAGCTTAGTTAACGGAAGGCTACCTGCTGCCATCAGAGCAAGTGTAATTACTGCATTCACACGCTCCTCGGATGCTCTCATTTCCCGAGTTGTGCTTTTAAGTCAAAAAGTGTTGTAGTAACACTCTTGTTACTACAAAGATTTGTATTATTACAGTTTTCTGACTTGAGTTCACGTGCATTTTCTCAGTCGGGAAATTATTTTTCACGTGCGGTGCCGGTGATGATGCTTCTTACGTCCGTTTCGGAGAACCAGAGGACAAATATTTCAATCGATCGCTCAGGCATGGCACCGAAATCTGCGTTCTGATTCGGTTCTAGTACATACCGGTTACATAGATACCGGTGCCATACTGGTACCAGGTTTCGGCACCCAACCCTAATAATGACATACTACTCTTGCGTGCTACTTTGTATTTCTTACTTTATTCATGCGTCATTCCTAATATTGAGAAAATATCCATAATATATTGCGAAATTATCTAGTAGATGTTTACCAGATAGCGTCTGTGCAAATGATCCGCACAGACGGAAGAAGTCTCGGATGGTCTGGAGTCTCTTCAGGAAGAAAATTTCCTCCAAGACCTGCCTGGTCTGCACATTATCAAAGAAATGGACCTGTGTAGCTCTGGACTCCCGGATCACATCCACCTTTCTCCAGGCAGCAGGCACATCCATAGAGTTCAGCTAGAGGGGAGAACAGGATTCATTTAGACAGCACTCTAATCAAATAAACACATCTAAGGCATATGATCAGCTAGGGACAAAAACAGAAGAAAAACCTGACTACCCTCCTAGTCACATGCTCTTTTTTTCACCTCTTTCCACTTCAGTTATTTGCAGTCACAATTTGTTGCTTTCACGGAACACCATTCAATATGAATACACAATAATAATAGCATCAAAAAACATGGAAAATATGTTTTATTCTATTAAAGATGACAAAAACACATAACTCAAATATATTACTATTCTGCACATTATCAAAGAAATGGACCTGTGTAGCTCTGGACTCCCGGATCACATCCACCTTTCTCCAGGCAGCAGGCACATCCATAGAGTTCAGCTAGAGGGGAGAACAGGATTCATTTAGACAGCACTCTAATCAAATAAACACATCTAAGGCATATGATCAGCTAGGGACAAAAACAGAAGAAAAACCTGACTACCCTCCTAGTCACATGCTCTTTTTTTCACCTCTTTCCACTTCAGTTATTTGCAGTCACAATTTGTTGCTTTCACGGAACACCATTCAATATGAATACACAATAATAATAGCAGCATCAAAAAACATGGAAAATATGTTTTATTCTATTAAAGATGACAAAAACACAACTCAAATATATTACTATCACCAAAATGAAAATTCTTGGCCAAAGCCGAAACTGAACAAAATGAAACACTGGGCCAAAATACAGAACGTTTTTTCCCTCTGTATTTAGCCAATTTTTTTCACCATTGCATTAATTAAATAGCCACAATGTGTTTTTTACTGTTTTGTCTTGCTTTTCAAAGAAAAACTTGATTACAAAACAAAACTTAACACTAAACATTTGTTAATATTCTAGCAGACATTATACCAACAAAGCACAATTTAACTTAAAATTAATTTAGTTAGTAAAAGTTAAGTAAAATAAGTAGTATTTTTTTGGCCATTTTTGAAACCCCTCTTGAATCAGGCATGTATTTTTTTACTGTATAAATAAATGCTGCCTTGCAGAGCAGAAGAGAATTCTTTTAAAACAGACAATATTACAGATCCCAATTTGAACACTGTGTGAATGTTATAATAAATGTATTAATAGAGCTGTTGTAATTATTATTATTGTCTTTATTTTATTTTACAGAACAACAGTAAAATTACAATACTAAAATTTATGAATGTTGATGAAGTTCTTGCTTTTTCTCAGCTTTTATTTTGGCAGAAACCCGCAGGAAGACCTTCAGTGCGGACAACAGCAGATTTATAAATGATTCTCATTACGGATTTGGGAAGATGTTTGTCGCACGTATCGCATTGTCACACGCCTTGTAAAAATACATAAAAATGTGACTGAGCAACTGACGAGTAGCAGCTTCAGTGCAGATTTTCCCCGTGCTTTGGACTTTGAGCCCTGGCTATCGAGCTTGTCATTACTGTCAGAATACATGCAATTCGTGCATGTATTAGAAAACATAACGTTCTGCAGTTTATTTACTAATTGTTTAAGGCAATTTCATGATTTCAATCATCTTACAGTAACCAGCAACCACCCGTTCCTCTTCTCATCAAAGACAAGCGATGCAGTACTAAACAGTCTCTCGCTGTCGGTGCATGTAATAATTTTTTGCATCTTTCACAATGCTGACATGTTTGCTGCATTAGTGCACGCCTCTATTTGACAGCATCACGTCATTGTTTGGTACAATTTATTCAGTCTTGTCGCACTGAAAGATTTTTTTGCTATTGTCGGCCAAATAATTTTGGTTGCCGAACATTTGGTGCATCCCTAATCATAATTACAGTATTGTACTGTTAATGCACTAATCCATACGGTATTTAACTGATGTGTATACTTCTCAGACTGAAGAAAAAAAATATCTGTATTCTTTGATAAATAGTACAGGTTTACAGAACATCTAAACTGTACAACAGACCCAGGCGGTCAAATATTAGGCCCTGTCCACATGGAGATGAGCAGGGATTAAATTCCCGAATAAAACGCGGTAGCGGTCGGTAACTCCGGTGTAATTTGAACGGGAGCTGGCGGTCTAACAATATCCAGTTTCCGACGTCCATTTAGAACAGCATATCTGCACTTTATTCTTATTGACCACTGGTACAGCCTTCACTCGGACTGTTATGCACGCGCTGCACGCATGCTTTCAGCGTCACGCCTTTTATTTGCGGGGTCTGTGCGCAGCATGTGCATAACGATGCTCAGAGCAGGCTGTACCTGTGGTATGTCGATGAGTGACAGAGCAGAATAAAGATGGAGCAATGCGTTCAACTCGGTTTTGTTTATATTTTGCTTAGCCTATAATTTTAAATGACAGATGTCGTATTTATTTATTTTTCTCTGCGACACTTTTCCTACTGTGTTAACTAGGGGTGTAACGGTACACGTATTCGTACCGAACCGTTTCGGTACGGGTCTTTCGTGGGTGTCTGTCTTTAAAGTGTTTTGTTAGTTTGGTGTGTTTCCTCGTTTTGATGTCGCCACGTCTCAGTGCTTTTATGAAGAGAGCGCAGCTGCGCACCTTTCGGATAGCACATCAAGAACCGGGTTGACCGGGTACTCGGTACCACCGGTACTTAAAAAATCCTGTTACCGTAACGTTTTCATTTTTTTAGTACCGACTTGGTACCGAAGTACCGGGTCTTTTGACAACACTAGCTGTATACGTAAAAAGTTTGCATCGTATTGGCGTTTCATCCAGACGGATCCGGCGTTTTGGGAGTGTGAAACCGCTATTTTTTGAAACCGGGTCCCAGAGTGGATAAATCTGAAAACAACACCTTTGCGTTTTCGTGCGTACAGCCAATCCGCATATTTTGTGAAACGAATGTCATCACCCCACGTCTCGACCCTAGTCAGACACCGCTACGTCACGTAACAGCAACAAAAACATGAACAAACACTGCACGATTGTCTTTTTATTAACTAACATTAACACAGATTAATAAATGAATTGTTCCATGTTCGTTTGTATACAGCGCTAAAGGTTTATGCGCATAGTACAAGTCTTCTCCGTTTTTAGTGCATCTCTGTGGCAGAATTACAGTGCCACATACTGGTCTGGCATGTATACTACATCGTTTTGTGTCAGTTTCGTGTGTACGCAGATATTTCTTGAGACAAGGGGAAAAAAAAGCTCTGGCTTCGTGTGGATGTGGCCTTAGACAATATTACATCTCTATCCAAACATGAATTACAAACTACAATATTTTACAAATCAGTATTTTTACCTTGTCAATCAGAAGTCCAAAAGCAGTCTCCAACTGTGCAAACATGCCATCAAAAGCTACCAACAACATCTGACCGGCACTCATCTTGGGTGTTTCCTGCACGGAGCTCTCCATGCTGCGCGGCTGGATCAGTTCTGAGTACTGGGCTCGCAGAACCCTGACACAAAACAAAGACACAAAGTTCAGTCCATCCAAATTCAGTAACATTATGTACTTAGTAAATATTTCCATTTTCCATGTTACCTGGTGATATCCAGATAGTGGTCATCTGGATCCTCCTCCAGGCCCATGGCAGTGTTACGAAGGTGAGCCTGCAGAACCTCCCCCAGTCCCTGCAGCGAAACCCCATCTGCGCACTGATCGATAAGTGCGTCCAGCTCCGCTAGCATGGCCTCTAATGTATTTTCTCCCTTCAGCATGCAGCGCAGAGCCTCTGGGAAGATGATCTGACGGAAGTTTGTGTTGAGCTCCTTCAAATATTAATAAAAAATGTTTGAGAGGGGGGAAAAACCATCACTGAAACCACTGAATACCATTAAACACTGAGAACATTACCTGAAGGCAGGTGTAGACGCCATTGGCCAGGTAGACAACTTGCGAAGTCTCTGCAAGGCTGAGGATGTCCAGGTCATGTGACAGAAGCTGGCACTGCTGCAATAGCTGCACAAGGCACGTGATGTTTCCACTCATACTGCAGAGCTCTTCCAGGAACCAGGCACCATCACGGGACGTCAGCTCCACCAGCTGCTCTCCGGCACTGGCTGCAGCTCCCTCCATCACCAGGTTACGCCTGCAAAGCACAGAAACACTGAATTCTTTAAGATCACTGAAAAAAAGGCATGGAAGACCAGTAAATTATTTCGGCAACAAATGAAGGTTTTCACAATTCTTGTAGCTTTTTTTTTTTTAAAGTCACAGACTCCGACCTGGTGAGGGCACAGAGGGCAGAGACGATGATGCCGGCCAGGCTGAAGGACCCGAGCTCGGTGTCCTCGAGCAGGAAGACTTTGATGCAGCGCTCGATCTCCTGCAGCTGCTCCTCACAAACGGGCACACCAGCGCCCTCTGCCTTCAGACGCTCTACCTGCCGCAGCAGCCGAGTGTTGGTTTCTGCTGCATGGTGCTGCAGCGCCATCTCGATGCTAGACAGGAACTGACATGTGGCAGGAGGGGGCTGGGGTGCAAACTGCATTTCATACCTGAAAAGAAAGAAAAATAGGATTTTTATGATATCTAATTAATTAGAGGACATGGAAAAGTCAATTTGAAAAATGATTACAATTAAAGGGGTCATATGATGCTTTTTTTAAAGATCATTATTTGGTGTATTTGGTGTAACAGAATATGTTGACATGCTTTAATGTTCAAAAAACACATTTTTCAAATACTGTACATTATTGTAGGTCCTCTATGCCCCGCCTCTTTCAAACGCTTCGTTTTCTACAAAGTCCCTCCTTCCGACAAGCGCAGTATGCTCTGATTGGCCAGCTGACCCAGTGCATTCTGATTGGCCGAACACCACAAGCACTCGTCGGAAATGTAACGCCCCTTACCATAATCGCGAGCTTCAAGCTTTCAAAGGGCAACAGAGTCACGTGACAGACACGGTGATTATGCAGTACACAATCCGTGGTTAAGACAGCTGACGTACGATGATTTCTGACAGGCAGTTCACTCTCCTGTGATGTGACCCTGTTCCCCTCACACACACACACACACACACGATGCGCAAAACACCGCATTTGAACAGTCAATAGCAAATACTATACTAAATACTAAATAGCAAAACAGTAGCTGATTCAGAAGCGCCAGATTGTCATAGCAAAGTCAGAACTACCTACTCTCCTAGGTTCACGAAACGGTCGTCCATAAAATGCATTGCTGTTCTGTTGTAAGTAATCTTAAAGATTCCTAAATGCATCTACGCGGGATTATGCAAATATTTCCACATAGTGGGGTAGATATGTGGGGGCGTGTTAGAATGAGCCGTTTTAGGGGGGCGTGGCAGAGTCTTAACTTTGATAAAGAATATCTCTTTGGTTTTGAGACTTTGGTCATTGCAACTTCAGGGATCTTATCTATGCACAATCAGCTTGTAACACTCCAAAGAGAAAGGAAAACTTGAAATCGCATCATATGACCCCTTTAATAAAAATGCATGATTGATTTTTCCAGATTTTTCAGGACATGAAAACCTTGATATATACATTCAAAAGTTTGGGTTCAGTTTTTTTTGGAATACTTTTATTCAGCAAGGGCACGTTACATCACAGAACAAAAATGTTAAAATCAAAAAAGTTTTTAAATAATATAATATTATTAATAATAATACTTCACAATATTACTGTTTCACTGTACTTTTGCTCAAATAAATGCAGCCTTGGTGAGCATGAGACTTCTTTTAAAAACATTTTAAAAATCTTACCGACACCATAACTTTTGATCGGTAGTGTAATTATAAAATTGTATTGTTTTTTATTATGTGAAGTTGGACCAGTTACTGATGAAAAAGCAGCCAAAAAGTGTGAACTGGAGACACAATCAGTAGTTGCACTTACTGGTGATAGACGGTCTGGCAGTGATCGACGGTCATGTCACACACCAGCTCCTCCATCCACTGTTTCCACGTGTGAACTCTGTGCCTGAGCAGCACCGCACGGGGGTACAGCAAGGCCACGGTGGCATAGCTGTGCAGGTGCTCGAGACAGCCACGCAGCTGAGAGCGCCTCTGCTGTAACAAAGCGCTCACCTCTGCCTCCAGTGCCTCACACTGGCTAATTAGATGTGCCTGGCCTGCATTCTGCAAGAAAGATGTTGCTGGCACATAGCTAGGTGGACCTGCAGTTTACACAGACCAAAGGAACAAATTAGAAGTTTGCAAGAGCTCCTTTTGCTTCACATTAAGCTTCAGTTAATATTCTGTAAAAGAAACCCAAAATGATCTGCACCTAAATCAATAGGGCTACTGATCTCCTGGAGGAGACTGGCAAGCTGAGTGGCCTCTAGACTGGCAAAGGCAGCATGATACTGAGAGATGCACTGATCCAGATCTGACAACTTCCCCTGAATAGCATCCTGTACAGTTCTCTGCCTGGACTGCAACTGAGTGTGCTCGGAAAATCTGGAAATGGATGGAAGAAAGAATGACAGTGAGAACTTATAATCTGTCCAATCAAATCTACACTATTACACAATCAAGCAATAATAGTGACCAGCTGAACATGATTCCCTCTAAAAAAAAAAAAACTCCTTGGTGGTCTCGTCTGCTGACCTGTGCTCCAGGGAGTGGATGGGATGATCTGCTCTGGTGTCCGCTCCCTCCAGGAACTCCATCTCCTCCAGCAGCTTGCCCTGCACTTTCTCCACTTGTGTGAGCTGCTCCTGCAGGTTTAGGTACTCATCCACTGCCTCCTCCACCTGCGGCAGCACTCCAATCATCTCATCACGGTTCTTGAACCAGTTCACCTAAAAAAAAAAAATTACAAAAAAAAAGAAGAACATTTTGATTAGCAAACCAAGTCAGGTCAAATTTATTTGTATAGCGCTTTTCACAATACATATTACTTCACAGCAGCTTTACAAAAAACATAACGTTAATGAGTATAATATCTTAACATCTTCATGCCTTACAATGGCATTCAACATATTAGAGCTGGGCGATAATACGGTTTTCATTTTGTGACAAACACGAGTACCAAAGCAGTTGAGAACTGCTATATATTCACTCCATGCGAGTATACTACATGTATGCAGATAAAGTTGGGCACACTTGTGAATCCACCTTTTCATGAAGAGCTGGGTGATAATAGTTACATTTTGTACTGAAATAAATCAGACAGTTGAGATTTGCTATACACTTCAAATCGCTCAAATTGAGTGTACTGTATGCATGCAAGTTGGATATAATATACATTCGACTTTATATAGAGAGCTCAGTGACGACGGTTTAGGCCTACATTTTTGTGATGATATAAACCAGCTTGAGTGTAATTTTTTGATGTTGTATCCAAGCTTAAGAATTAATCAGTAGTTTGGTTCCCCTAAATATGTGATATAGCAACATGGCTCAACCAGGGGCAACAGTTTGAGGATGCAATACCTGCTTACCCAACCAATGTCATGCAGCAGTAGTGTTGGAAGAAATTCATTATTTTAGCAAATTCTTATATTGAAATCAACATATCTCACATTTAAGAGGCAAATGTACATATTTGTACCATTTGCACTTAAAATTCTCACCTTAATCTCAGCCACACGGGAGGAGAAGAGGCTACATGTGATGTCTCGCTCCATCTCTCTCTTGCTCTGCTTGTTCTCTGCTTGCTGACCACCACCTCCATACACAGCCCCTGCAAAGCCCACCTCGCCACCTGCTGTCCAGTCCACCAGAGGGTCATAGACAAACGCCTCCAAAAGAGTCAAGAGGGTCTCTCTACCACGGCGCATTATCTGGATGACCTGAAAGGAAAGGACACCGTTCAAATTTGTATGCATGTTCTAAATTAAACAATAAATGAATCATTTCCATTCATGAATCATCTCATTCTTACCTGTTCACAGGACAATCTAAAGATGCCCTCCACCCCTGTGACCCCCAAAGCGGTCTCAATATTGTGTGTCATACGGAAAGGAACCTTCTCTGGTACTCTCAAGCTTTTTCCTGTTAGGATGATGAGGTATTTAAATGTCTATGCCCATGAAGTATGTTTTGAGTCATTCTCAAGTGAACAAGCACTCACCCTTCTCAAAACAGACGTTGTAGTCAATGTGTACCACCTCACCAGTCGTCATATCAATCAGCACATTGTCAAGATGACGATCTCCTAATCCAATGATGTATCCCACCATTGACATTACAGCAGTGGATCTGGCATAAGACTAAATGAGACGCATAAGATTGGTTAATTTTAGTGCAAGGCATTTATTCTAACACTGTGCCGAACATAGGTAGGACATGTGAATAGTGGTTCCTCTGACCTGAGTCACGCTCCACCACTCACTGGGGGTGGTACAGGAGCACCAGAGCTCCTTTGCCAAGAGATTAGGGGGTGTAGCCTCCATCAGCTCTCGGAGAACGTCTCTCATGACATTCAACGGCCAGTCACGGCGTGACACATCCAAACTGAGGCCGACAGCCTTTAAGGCAGGACTGATCTTACTGTAATAGAGCTCACTGGGCCGTGGAACCATGGGAAGATTCTGAGGTTGCTGGAAGGAGTCCTGTGCCTAAATAAAAATAAAAAAAAGTTACAAGATTTGGTCAATTTTTAAATCTTCCTTCACCGAAAGGGAAGCCAATCAATAGGGCTGCACTATTTACCTCAACTGAAAATAACAACTGGCAAAATCGACGCGTTTCAAAAAGGCGGGGCATAGAGGAGAAACAATAATGTACAGTATGTGGAAAATAATGTGTTTTTTTTACTTTAAACCGCATAAACACATTTCATTACACCAAATACACAAAATAATGTTCTTTTTAGCAGCATCATATGACCCCTTTAATGTATTTTTACTTTTATAAATTATCTTAATTTTTTACATAACAAATGGTCTTAGTTAACTACAAAAACCCTGTAAAACCTGAAGCGTTCTATGCTAATTTTCACTCTCACCTTCTGGGCTTGGACCACAGCCTCACGCTGCTGCCAGCGTTTGTACAGACCAAATAGTGGAGTGGCTCCATCCACCCACTGGATGAGGCCTGATCTGGTGCCCAGCGGTGTGACAGAATAATGACGGGCGTGAAACCTTGGACTCTCCTGTTGATTCACTTTAGTGAACATGGTGTTGACGATTGACAAGAACTGCATGATCCTCTCATCCAAATGCAAGTCCTCCAATCCTAAAACACAAAGATAATGTTTACATGAGCAAATGTTAAATGCATTAAATGGGATAATTCACACAAAAATGAAAATTATGTCATTTACTAAACTGCTCAATTTATATGGATTACTTTTACAATGTCTTTAATAGTTTTGGTGGAAATGGACTTTAAAAAGGGGGGACAGAAATCTCAAGTAATATGTTTATTTGTGTTTCGAAGAAGAACAAAAGTCTTGCCTGCTGGGAGCAAGTCCTCTAGTGATGCTTTTAGCCACGTTTAAAACTCATACCTTTGAATAGGTAAGGATAATTTCTGCCATCAGAGCCTAGAAAGTAGAGCTTCTTGGGTTTGGTTTTAGTCGGCAGGATGGTGATGGTATTGCCTACGCTCTGGATGGTGACTGCATCTGTAGCAGACACCTCCCCTGGCAGCGCCATCTCTGTGTTGGTCATGGCAGTCAGACGGGGGCTGATCTCATCTAGCTGCAGGAGGTAACTAGCCCGTTTTTGTGCCCTTTGCTGCAAGCTCAGCATGATCTGTGACAGGATGGGGTAGAATTAAAAAAGGTAAAATGCACAGCATGCATATCAGCATTTCACTTATGCACACAGCTGTCCTGACCTGTTTGAAGGGCACCCAGCTGCTGGCAGGATTGGCTGGATTAAGAGGGCTCCTCAGTCTCTCTAGAGCATTGTGGATGGCCTCTCCATACGTCTCCTGAAACCACGCCTCGTGAGGAGTCTCCGCCGGAGCAGCCGTGATGCTGCGTACGTGATCCAGTGCAAATACCACAGGCTTCATCAGAGCAGAGTGCTTCTCTCTCATAATAGCCACCTTCTCATCCCTAAACCACAAGAGATTGAGAATTTAAATAATTTTCCATGAACCATGAGTCACTTACTAATGAAGTTTCTCCTTCTATATTGATTTCCAGGGTCGTGACTTACTTGCGCAGAGTGTTGTTGTTCTGAACCCTTTTGACCTCGTCCTCCAGCTGTTGAATCCTGCGCAGAACGTGCATGTGTTGCTGCTGCAAGACCCCCAGCCAGAGCTCGTCCCAGAGCAGAGTGACCCTCCTCAGCTCGCCCACCAACAATTGCACCTGCACACACAAGGATCAACAAAACAACTCTTAAACAATGGCCTTTAACACAAACAGACACTTATAGAACAGCAAAGTCCTTTCTGTAATACCTGTAGCACCATGGTGGGGTTGGCAGAAGAGAGCTTGTCTACAATCTTGCTGTAGCAGTCCTGCATCATGGCTTGGTCTTCACTAGAATACATCATCTCTTCCCCGCGGCTGCTCTCTTGAGAAGTCGGCCCGCTGCCCGTCTCACTCTCACATCCACAAAGAGCCTCTCCCTGCATGTTCCCAAGAAGGGTTGGCAGGGACGACGGCAGCTTATTACCTGGCAGAGATGAAAACATAATTTTTCTTCCCCAAAGAGGCTGAACTTCTATATATGATCACTAAACTGAGAACTGACTGGTTGTTTAATGTCTCCATCAAAGCTAAAGCCAGAGCATTTTCCAATTGTCTTCAATAAAGAAAAGCAAGCAGAGAGATGAGACACTGACTATAGTCTCTTTGGTATGTTTAAGTGCAAATATTTGGCCCAGATGCATGGTCCCAGACTAGTAGAATATTAATATGTAAAACAGTGTTTAGAGGAACATTTCGTTCACCATGGGTCTATCAGGTAGGCAGCTACATAGCGCTCAAGCACCCCTAGTTTTAAGAAGAGCATCTGGCATTTTCATCTGGCTAAAAATGTTTATGTCCATGCTTCGGTGGACACATGGCCTAAGGTAGCCTGGAAATACAGTATGTACCTGCAGCCTGAGCCTCTCCACCAAGAGAGATAGAGCCAACAATGGCAGGGTAGAGGATAAGGTGGGGTGAATCTTGGGCCACTCTGCACAGCAGGCTGCAGATGCTCTGGCGGATGTAAGCCTCAGGGTGATTTAGTCTGGAGAATAACTGAGGGATGATACCTAGAGATAAAACAGAGCTATTAATATTACATGAATAGAAATAACTATCTACATGATGTAGAGAGGAAAGTGTTCATTACTGTATTGATGTTCAAGTTCTTACCTCTCCAGGGTGCAGTGGGGGTGGATGCCAGGCCGTGTTCCAGACCCTCTCTTAATTCCCCAGCATGCTTCACAAGCAAGCGCAGCAGACGGAGGGTTGCCATGACAATGACATCATCGCTGCTCTGTTTGCTGCTCTGGTTGTTCAGGAGCAGCTTGAGGTCGTCTTCATCTATGGGCACCTGATGATCAAGACACCAAGAAATTTGATCGATTTCGGTTTTAGAAATGTATCACTGCGTAAACATTAGAGGAGGAATCCTCTGACCTGCCCAGCGTTGAGTTTAAGGAAGGTGAAGTACGCTCTGCAGGAGACCCGGTACAGGCTGAAGATTCGGTCAACCACTCTCCTCCACACCCCAATCAGCCCATCGGTCACAGTGTCCTCCAACTCAGACAGCCACGGGCAGGCACTCAACAGCTGTCGGCCGATCACATCCACCATGTCGTCCTCCTCATCCTCTTCATTCTGCAAGGCCATGTCCTCATCCTGCAGGAACACAATGACAAATGAATACACAAAACGAGAACTATTCACATGCCCATCGCAGATAAATGAACATCAGCATTAACCTTGAGGCAGAAATCTACAAGTTTATATAGATAAAATAAAATATCTTTAAGAAATTGATACTTTTATTTTTAAATCAAGTTTAAATAAGTTTAAATCAATCAAAAGTGGCAGTAAAAAATAACATTCCAAAAGATGTTTTTGAAATTTAAAGTTTAAAATAGAAAATTAAAATCTGGAAGCGTGAAGGCGCTGTGTGCTTCGTTGTGAAAGCGAAACTACTTTGTTTGGTCTTCCAAAAGAGGACGATATCGCGTCATCATGCCTGGAGCTGATCCGTGCTGGTCGCTGAGGAAATACAACAACTACGCCCTGTAGATCACCGGATCGGCTTTCACCGTGAAAGAAGCAGAGTCCAGCCCGGGGTCGTCACATGTGGTTGCCGCAGGCATCACAATATGATAAGGGATGTAACATTTCCGTCACACACTTGAGGAATTCGGCCAAAAACACATTTCATTACACCAAATACACAAAATAATGTTCTTTTTAGCAGCATCATATGACCCCTTTAACTTTCCATTTGCCAAAGAATCCTGAAAAAATGAAAAATATGAAACAACTGTTTTCAACACTGATAAAATGTTTGAACACCAAATCAACACACTAGAATGATTTCTGAAGAATTATGTGAAAGTGAGTGGAGTAACTTCATTAAAGTCATTTTTAAATTGTAACATTTCACATTATTACTGTTTTTACTGTATTCATTTTTTTTTTCAAAAAATTAAATTTCAGCCTTGGTAAGCATAAAAGGTCTCCTTCAAAAACACCACTGGAAGAAAAGAAAAATGCACCAATCCCAAACTCTTGAACTACAGTATATTTAAATGAAATGCCTATGTTTTCTAGCATTATATTTCCATAGTTCCTTAGCGTGTAGTGTGCCACAGTATGAAAACCACCGATTCAGACTAATTTACAAACTGTGAACTCTATAACCTGAATTCCAGCTGGACGACACATGGCTTGACCCAAAATGCCGAAAATGGTTTCCTTGTCCTCATCACTGGTGCCTGCTGGGAGCAAGTCCTCTATTTCTTTCTTCTCCCCAAGGAGCAACGGAACCCCTTCTCCTTGACTATCGACAGACAGAATAAACACAAAACATCAGTATGAGCATATCACTTTTTTTTGTAAACTAACATTAGCAATTTTATTGGGAAAAATACCTGGCATTGTCCACAACCTTTCTGCCCCATCTGTATGCCCAGCTGGCCAGAGCAGCCCATGATTTGGCCACTTCAGGAGCCTGAGTAGTTGAGAGTTGGTACAGCTGCCCAAGCACGAAGTCTGGCTCCCCGACACCAACACTGACTGTAGACAGAACAAACAAATCTTCACGATCATTACAAAGAAACAAAGACAATATCAATCACACACTAATACACATGACACTGTAGAATGCAATGCGATCATCATATTGGTCCTCAACCATTCATGACACAAACAGCATGGTTTAATGCATTGGCATTAAGCCTACCTGTAGTCTCTGTTGTAATATGTGGCATTCCCTGATCTTCCAGCGGCAGCTCCAACAGGCCAGAGATGTTTTTTGAGAGAGCTGAGAGGCTGGTAGAACCAGAGTTCCTCTTCACCACCATTTTGAGTTGTGGAGTCAGATCTTTCCAGTCGGCCAAAAGCCATTTGCACAGAGTAAGCACAGAGCGACAGGCTGCACGCTCACACTTTCCAGAGTGACAGTACGACAGCGCACAGGAGCTCAGCATTTCCATAGCAGATACGGACTGACCTAAAAGGCAGAGAAGTGCTAAGACATTCACACTGCAAAACACCAAGACCAAGTGAACTGGCCCAAATCAGACTGAAAGACAGCTTAAAAACACTTACCAGCAGCAAACAGAACTTTAGCCTTCTCGATCTCCAGCTCTGGTCCCCACTTCTCCCCAACAGTGCCTTCTAGTGACAGCTGCCTGAAGCTTTGCACCAGGTCCTGACCTTCTGAGTCGCTCACTGATGGCTTGTTGCACAGACTCAGCAGACGCGTGGCCAGGGCGATGTTTCCTTGCTTACGAGCAAATTTCACCGCAGTCAGACAAAGCTCCATCAGGTGAGAGTCCACTGGAGCAGATGATCCTGGATGAATCATTGCAGAGTCAACAGAGACGCCACATCACATTCATTAGCCAAAATTACACATAAGAGAAGGAGACCTTACCTTTGAGTTTTTGGAAGAGCTGCCGCTGGAAAGTGGTGTATCGGAGAGCATGTAGCCATGGCTGAACATCCTGCTGCTTGCAGGTGGTCAAAGCTTCACTGAAGAGCGGAATTAAGCAGTCCTACAGGGAGAAAAACAAAGAACGGGGATTTCTTGAAAAGGAAAAGACACATGACAATGTATTTGCATGCTCACAGGGTTGATGTGGTGGCTCAAACCTCTGGGTGCTGGTTGCAGAGCGAGTTCTCTAGAGAGTTGGCACAGTGCAGCTGCAGGGTGCTGAGAGTGGGCAAGGAGTCAGACAGAGTGAGAGTGGAGAGACGCAGGGGACCCAGAGAGATGCGGCCCGTCTGTTTCAGGTACTTCACCAGGGTGCTGAAGATGAAAACCCAAATGTAGACTCGCCATCAGTACATACATAACTTGTTGAAAAATCTACTGTGTTCAGACTATTTACTCACTCAGATGATGCGAGAACCTTCTGGTCCTGTTCGTGATTGGTCGCAGTGATGGCTCCAACAGCGCTTCTAAGGAGCTGTACCTCAATGGCCTTCTGGAGCTCTGATGGGTCTGGGCTCAACACAGCAGGAAGAAGCCTCTTCAGGTCTGTCAACACAAACAAACATTAATACATACCACACCAAATGGCTGATCAGCGAAGCTGTTCATAGAAATGGATTCCACATGTTCTGACCAATGTAAAACAAATGATTTAAGGATTTTTAAAGATCATCTTTACAAAAAGCAATTTCTAATTTCTACTAAAAAAAATTTGAGCCGAGCATTTCTAGGTGAAAAATGCTGCTGCTGCTGCTAATTATTTTTATTGCCATGTCTTTTCCAGGCCTGACAAAAAAAAAAACTATACTACTTGTTGGTTTTCCATGACTGTGGATTTAATCATACCAATCTTGTCCTTAGTTGAAGAGTTAAGAAGGCCATAATCCTCCCCAGGGAGCAACTCCAACTGGACACGGCACTCTGCGAAATCCCCCTCCTCAAACCTGCTCAGAGCTCTGGAAGGCAGACAGATTAAAACACAATCATTTCAATGAACTCCTCACATTCCTACAGTCAGGAGGAGTTCAGTTATTGTCAACAGTTCTGCTCCTACACACCTGATGTAGTTAAAGTCTGTCTTGAGGTTGACACTGGAACTGCTGCTGTTCTTTTTGAGGTTCATCATGCTGGCCTGCCACTCCTGCACGGACTCCCAGTCGCTCAGGGCCACATAACACTCACAGGCCTTATTAGCCAGGAAGTTGAGCACTTCTGGAGAACACTCACTGGACTTCAACAACACAGTTTTCCTTCCATCTCCTATTAAAACAGCCATGACAGAAACAATAAGAACCAAGGCAACTTCGGCAAAAAAAAAAAAAAAAAAGATAAGGG